CTACCTCCGCACTGCTGTGGTCAACGAGCAACAAGTCATTGTTTTTGGCGCGAGCTAAAACTCTTCGGCTCCGAGAACGCCAACAAAGACCAAGAAAGGTAAAAATCTTGTTTGGTCGTAAACCTCCTTTTAAATTCATACAGTGTCCTCACAAAACGCTAAAATTCCTTCAATAATAAATATTTTATGATGAATTTATTGCTACACTTGGTATAGTACTTTTTTAAACGGGTATCCAATGCACAATGCATTGGAACCGGTTTCTTGGTTGACCACCGCACCACACCACCTTCCATGGATTTATTTTTTTTCCTCTTGGAACCACTCCAAGTTTTCTTTTCTTCGCCACACACAACACACTCATATGGTTGTGTTTGCCGTCAGGCAGGAAACCAGTTTCCAATGTTGCCACAATGACCACGGCTCCCTTTTTTTCCTGACAATCTTCCATCCCACTCTCGCCGGTATGTGCGTTCGAGGTCAAAGCCAACTGCTCCTATCTTCTACCATGCCCATGTTGGTTTACTTTAGCCTTAAGTTAAGTAAACTCACAAACTTCGGCATAAGACTGAGTGTATGATAGAAAAATGATACCTCGATTGGTGTGAGTGAGAGATGGGTAGAGGTAAGATGACGACGGAGATTATCTTACCGCACACCTGCCTCCGTATCATCATCATCATCATCATCACCATCATGCGACTCACCGTTGCACATGCGTTGATTTTCGTATCGTAAAAAATAAATTTCGAAGCAGTGCACCGGGCCCGAAATTTAATGAGATGGACCCAAAAAACACAACTTGTATCAAGTTTCATTAGCATAGCTTTCAGCTGTGCATACAAGGTGACTTAAGTCAAGTGACTGAAAAGTCTAATTTTAAAAATCATGCGCTCATTAATCAAAGAATATTTTTAAGTCACTTGTGATCGTTTTTAATATTTTTTTCTCATTTGACTTAAGTAATATTAAGCATCACGAATTGATTTGAATTTCGCTCCACTTACATCTACTCCAGTTGAGGCTGGAAATTGAATTTGCATCGCTTTGAAATGCATCTGGTTTACATCTGTTGTGTTCACGTGGCGTCTGTTTGCGAACGGCATGTTGAAGCTGTGCCCGCGTGTGGTTTCTTGGTTTTCCTTTCCTTTCTGTTTGCGCCGCAACTCTTGGCGGTGACTTGGCAACACTGCGCTAGACTTAAGTCGATTGGACTCGCCGTGCTGCGCCATCAGGGTCAGGTCAACAGACGCACACCTCGACCACGCTCCTTCGTCTTACCTCACTTCTTCATGCAAGCAGTGAAGTCGTACAGAAGGCCAGAGAGTTAAAGAGACACAAGCTGACTTAACTCAAGTCAGCAAACTTTATAATAACAATCGCCTTGTCTGTTGGTTATTACTTTTTGCTCACTTGTAAAACATGAGAAAAATCGAAGAGTCTCTCTTTTCCTTTTGTTGTACGTACGATTCTTATGAATTTTATGGCGGCCGCAGAAAATTTACGACCCTCGAAGTCCATACAATGCCTCCTCCCACCTTCATTTGCTCCTTTTCCGCGGTTTTGGTGAGGTTTCCGTTTGCGTCTCGAGATTTATTGCCCGCACGCGGTCGGCTTCCGATTTTTAATTTTTAATTACTTTGTTGCCTTTTTAAGATGATTTAAACTTCGCTCTACCAAAAGGAAAAAGAAAATAAAAAGATGCCAAATAATCCCAAAGAACATAGTTTGTAGCCTGTGTTGTGTAATAAAGGAAAATATTTCTCATTTTAATGAAGGTCTTCTTTTTCCTTCATTCCTTGCTTTTCCACCATGATGTTTTTCTGGATATTTTTACAGCGATGACAATCTGTCCTTCCTATATATTTATGACCACGGTTTTAAAATCCTTTTTTTTGACGTCTGCTTGAGATGACACGCCAAGATGGCAACCGTCCGTTAGACTAGATCGTCAACAAGAATTAACCCACGAGTTTATTAGCAACTCGCCGCTTACATTTTACATTTCATTGCAGCAATACGGCTGCAATTCGTTTTATACTGTGACGTTGTAGTGTTTTGTTTCTTCAGCACGACGCCATGAAACGGGTTTATCGCTTGTTTACTCGCTTTTTCTGCTCATTACAATTGCAGCGAAAAACTCCGGGAAACGACAAATGCACAAATAATACCCGACCAACGGCTATTATCTTATTGGTTATTTTAATGTCGCGCCATGAGATTACACTTTTTCAAAATGGCCGCACCGCAATGAAAAAGTCTTATAAAGATAATGACGGCATGTTGGCGCTGGGAGATTGTAGGCAACCAAAAAAGTGCGAGATGATTGCGTCGGGTAAAAACCGCACTAATCACGCGACACAACCGCCTGGCTGGACACTTAAGTCAGGTTTGACTCGAAAGTAAAAACGCATGGGCATTATTTTATATTATTTTGTGTGAGCTCGAAAGAGAAATCAAGCGGAAACCTAGTGTAAGCCCTTTTTTCTGTTATTGTTTTAGTGACTTAGGAGTTGGCTTAAGTCATCGGAGAGTAAATAATTCCGTATTAGTTCCAGCAGCGTATGGAATGTGCTGGAACAAATCGCAAAAAAGATTTAATTCTGTAGTGACGTCTGGACTTAAGTTATAACCACTTAAACCGCATTAAAAACTAAACTAAGTCATAATGACTCAAATGTTGACTAAGATATTATTTTTTATGTAGTTTTTGCAATGTGACTCAAGTTAAGTCAACGTCTTGCAGCTTTTTCGTTTTCTTCGTTTTCCAAGAAACTAACAGCGAGCAAAACCTACGCTCACGTTTCTCACTGTTTGTTCTTCTCCTACGACGGCGTCGTTTTTGTGTGTGCATTGTGTGTTTCCCTCGGCGATCGTAAAGCATCATCGGGTTACAACGCTCGGGAACTTCCTAAAAACCACGATGGAGCGTTCGCCTTTTGAGTTCGTGATGTTTAAAGTAAACATGCACGTGTAAACAAACGCAACAGTCGCACTTGCATTTGCACTTGCATGTGTAGGATGTGTGTGCACAGAGTGCACCAGCAAGCGCCATTTTGTTTGACTTCTCGACTCTCTACAGTTTGTTTTGTTTTCCCAAGTCAAAACTTTATTTTTGCCCGCTTTAGAAACACATTGGCACTGCTGTGATTACTTTTTGATGTTCCCACAAGATGGCGGACTCGTTTATTTTTATATGTCCGCCATTAACATGCGAACTCCCGAACATCAGCTGTGACTTTCTTTTTTCGAATGTATCTGATGTCGCTGCTGTTTGGCATGCTTCAAAGGTTTCCGATGGTCTTGGTTGGTACCAGGGGGTGTCGATGGAGATAGAGATGTGGGACATATTTTATTGAAATCGACGCCGTGCTCGATTATTATTCCAAACATCACCTCCGCGACTTCCTGCGGTGTGCCGTGTACGCGGCTGCTTTTATTTTTACGACGTCTTCCACCCTCAACCATCTTGACTCCTCTTGACTTCCCACTGAATTCCTAGCTGCTTTAGCTCCTTAGCGTTATCTTATCGAGGTTTACATTACGTCTTCCAATGCTTTCCATTTTTCCATTCCGCGCGTTTTTTTTTACGCTCCTGCGTGTTTTTCTTCTTTATTATACTGAATTTTCATATTTCGATATGGCATGAATATATCCCCACATCCACATAACGTCATCCTCTCGTTTTTTCATTCCGGCGCGATGTATGCAGAGTTTTTTTCCGTGGAATTCTCCATATTCGAGTGCGCGTATTCGTATTCGAACAGATGGAATTACATTCGAAGCTAAGCGAAGGCGCGGCACACCCGACGACGATGACGACGACGACGGGATATCGACTTCCATTTCCCGCCGTCGTTGTGTGTCATGGCGGATGCTGTTGCGTCTCATCTCGTCGTCTTCATCACATTTTTGCATCTTATCATAATAATTTTTTTTCTGCCAGTCGGTAGTATTCAATATCGAATAATACACCGAAATCCACGCGTATGAACGAATTTACGTTTCATACGAAAGCTTCACATTACCAGAAATTCAAAGAATTGGATTTTCAGACTACCTGCGTTCTTCTTTTTACAAAATAAAGAAAAATTCTAAACATATTTAAGCCCAGGTCAAGATTGTCCAGCATCCCAAGATGTCAAACTCTACGAAAGATCCCACAACAGATATGGAGTTGAAGTTTGAATAGAAACTTTTCCAGCAAGTATATGTACCTGATCCGATGCCAACAAAGGTCTCTACCACTAGAAGAGACAACGCAGCAATAAAAACTTTTAATTATCCTAAACGTCTTTTATCGTCGACGTCGATCGAATATTCCGTCGCTCAGTCATTTTTACGACCGGCTTTTATGTTGTTACTTCCAATGTGATTCTTGATTAGATGTAAGATATAACCATATTAGCAATATTAAAAATATGAAACATATATTATTCTCCGTTTTTCCGTTTTGCGGTAAATTTTTGTGGGCAAAGTTTGAGCGTAACCAAATTGGACATATCATGTCCTCCAACCTTAAAAGGCACGAAATTTATTTGATCTCATCCGGTGAACCGATTAAAATGCTAATTAGACTCTGAGTACTCTGGGCAAGTGAGCAGTGGAACTTGAACGCCAGCTGCTTCTTTCCATCTGCCTTCCACTTTCTACGTGCGCGGCGAGGTTTCGATACACATTCGTTTTGGAAGACTTTTCGCTTCGCTTTGGCGCAAAATCTCTTCGCCTAATGAGAGAAGAAACACTTGTAAGTTATAAACTCTCTCTCGTTCAGATGCGCAGCCGCTGGGGCGCTTCCGGTCGGACTACTTTATTTTATTTTTTCGCCTTAGATTTTACTTTTTAAATTTACATTTTATTGCATTAAATTGCGGCCAAACAAGCCAGGCAACTGTGAGATAGTCCGAGCGCAAATTAAACGTCAGGCATGAAACGCTTCAAGACTTCAGGAAAACAGCAATTGGTAAAAACAAAAATTATGATATGTTGAAAAAAAAAACTTTGCATCTTTAAGTTTTAATCACTTAGAAGCTAATTCAAGGCAGAGAATCTCGCTTCGGAGCTGACTCGCTGCTAAAATATTAATTCGAAGGGATTATTTACTAAAATTATGACGTTTCCTTACCTGCCGGCGCAATTAGAGGAAGTTTTAGGCAAAAACAAAAACGCGCAGAAAAGTTAATTACATCTAATCTCGGCTTACTTGCTACCTCACTTCTGGATTCTCTGGCGTGGCTTCTGCTAGAGCTCCAACTTTTATAATTATTGTAATTATAAGCTGGCCGCGTTTCGACATCGCTAAAATTTTCGAAGCGAGCGCTCTAAATTAAACTATCTTTTTACCGCTTCACCTCTTTGGCTTCTTTTTTGGAATTGCTCAATCTTCAATCTTCGAAGTTATGCTACAGCATTCGATCATCACCTGGGCGTGATCGTGATGGCTGATGGTCGTCGCTGGAAGTTGAAATTCTAGTTTCACGGCCAACACGAGCATACACTTGTAATTTATAATTAATTTACCAGCAACCAAGGCAAGCGACGCAGAGGAGGCTTCTTGAAGATCAGATTCCAGAGCAAAACAGAGAAGATCACTGCAAAGCGAGAAAGGAAACACCTTCTGGCAATCTTCGAAGACAACATTCTGTCCTCCTTCTACATCTTTACATCTCTATTGATCTGCGTCTAACTTCAAGTGTCGTATTATTTATGTGCGTGTTCCTGTTTAAATACGCTCCAAACATGCAATGTCCAAACCTTTGCTCTCTCGGAATCGAAATTGTGTGATGGTGAAATCGGTGCTCAGGCTCGAAATAGTCAAATTAGAGGTCTGGTGAAATGCAGTTGGGTGTGGTGCCCGCTAACGTTCGAACAAAACGCCAGCGGACGCCATGAACCGGAGAAGCCAGCGCCGGAGAAGTAAGACAACGCAAACGCCTGCGGCGAAGGCATGGCCGCGCATTCGCATGTATAATACGCTTACCACTCGAGCGTGTAGCACATTCGAGTGCATTGCAATGCGTTCTACTTCTAGCACACCGTCGATCATTTAAACATGGCGTAGCTACATACAAAATCAAACAAAACATGATTTGTGGTTTTTGTTTTTCGTTGATTATTCGTACTTACACTTACAATCGCCGACGACTAATCCCATACACACTAATACAAGTTGATTAGATTTTCTACTAATTTTCTACTGATTTCTCCAGTGAGATTCAATTTACTTCCGAATCATTTGAGTCGCTATTCAAGTCTGATTTAGCAGCGCTACACGCTGCAGATTCATGACTTGTTGATTCACCATGGCAACGCATGATTGTCACCATGGAAACAAAACATATTCCCCCTTCTCTATACTGTAGAACATTCTAGAAGGCTTTTTTTTCCGCACGAGTCAGTTGCGTTGTTTTCGCGTGACAATAAAAACCGTTCGGGAAAGCGAGAAGCTGTGGCATTAAATGCCATGAAAGAGATTGCAAAATGCAATTGCAGCACGAGCCAAAAGTCGCTCTCCGCTCTCTCGAAGCGGTTAACTCCGAGTTAAGAGATTGCGAAATCTAAAATCTCGAAAGTAAACGCGCGCGCGCACACGCTCTAACGACATCATCATAAAATGGCCGCCTACAAACGCGCCACCATTCTAATATATGGATGTTTTACATTACGTTTCCGGTTTGCTACAAATACGAGGCACTAAAAATGCGCTGGAATTAGAGCAACTTGTGATTCGATTCGATAGCGAATTGAATTGAAAATTTTCACAAAGCGAAATTGAGTGTATTCCGCGTGAAATTGACGTCATCGATCAAAAATATGTTATTAGATAAAAGTAATAAATCAACCTTCGTCATTTCCAAACGTGGGGGATGGAAAAAAGCGCGCGCCTCGTTTGCCGTGCAAACATTACACCTCGCCTCGCAATTTCACACTTTGCGTGACACGGAAAACCGGAACAGCGGAAGGAAAGCCTTCGCGAGTCTATTAAATTTCTTTCATCCTCTCCAAGGCGTAATTTTATCAATAATTCGACATTTGACAGATGACAATTTAACCTGGAGCATAACCTTAAAACACCCACGCTGTTTTTCCTCATCATGTTGCATCAAATATCACGTACGTACTATAAAAACCACCCCTTTAATTCGAGGCGTATTCGTTTAGTGCTTCTTTTTAAGATTTGTACGTTTTTATTGTCTCTGGATGGTGCGCCGAGGGTTTTTATGCGTCTGTGTAGCTTTTATTTCACCACAAGACGTAAAACCCGAAATGGCCGAAAGAAAACCTAACGTCCGAGCAATTATCTCTTCGCGGGTGTGTATCAACTGTATAGATCACCCAATGCGCACACAACACGGATAGGCAACCAAGTATACTCACACGCGTACTGGTTGCCTATCTCTGGAGGAAGGGGCGGAGCACCCGCGACTTCGGATGAGCACTAATGCTTTTTATTGCCGAAAACGAGCCGATTTCGCATTTGGGTTTAGAGCTACCAAGTTTAGCTTTAGTTTTACTGTTACGGTTAAGGGTTGGTTTTAGGGTTATGCGATACTTGCTCTGTTTCTTTGATTTTTTTCATTCTTCGTTTATTTCCGTATTATTTTTTTTTAATTTATTTTTGGAACACTTTGTATATGTGTGTACTGTTGGTTGCCTATTACCTATATTTTTTATTGTTGCATGCATTGTTTGATGTCATTATGCAAATCTATTTTCGCTCGGCGCTCATATTTATCTCGGCATCTTTTTATTGTTCACCGGGCCGTGTATCTCAGCGAGTACATCTTAATAAGCCTTAACTTAGCATAATAACGATGCGTAATGGGAAATATCACACGCGCTCTCTGCGGACAATGCAAGTTTCACACACTCTCGAGACGCGTGTGTATCGGGTTGCGCGCGGTGCTGCTACTCAAATTGCAAGAATTAAAAAAACGCGGTAAGTAAATAAATGAAACTTTACACGTTTTCAAAATATACTAAACATGCATCAACATGTGCAACACAGACTCAGCATTTTTTTAAATTTATTTTTTCAATTTTTTTGTTTCGGTTTTTATTTAATGTATTTTTTGTACATCTTTAATTTACCTCTTTCTCATTGTATTGTATTGATATTTAGTATCTTTCAATTCATGCATTTATTGTGCACAATGATATCTTTTTACAAAAAAGCAGAAAAAAAGCCAGCGTATTTCTTTCCAAGCAAATAAAGCTCAAAGAACCTGAAGCATTTCACAAAACGCAAATGTTGGAATTGTAAAAATTCCAAGAAATTGCGCAAAGAACGAAGGAAAACATCTCATTATTAAAGTTGGTTCTCCTACGATTATTCATACTTTTCGCGCATTTTCATCGCAATATTTTTCTACTCGAGTTTTCATTAAAAATGTGCCTTCATTTCCTCAATTCTCTGCACAATCATCATTAAAATAAGTTCCATACTTTTTTCATTCCCAGGTAAAGCAGTCTTATTAAATCATTATTTAAATATGTCACCCAGAGCTATTATTCTAGGTTATATTCAAACATAACCTCAAATTCAAATGACACATAGACATTATTTGACATTTACATTTTTATCGCTCGAGATCTTCTCAAGATAACTTGTTTGTAAGTTATAATGATAAAGAATAATGAGTAATGACTAATGATTTTGCCTCAGCAGGTAATTACGACAAGGGGATGAGAATAATTAATGAATAACCTAGAAAATAAAGGTAAGTAAATTTAAGACTTTTTTTTATTAATCATCTACTAAACAAGAAAAAATAATAAGAAAAAAAAATTAATTACATGAAATTCTTGCATAAATACACATACAGTGTGTTTAAAGTAATAAAAAATTAAAGTTTTATAAAAGTTTTCAAAAGTATGCATAAAAATTTTTACTTTTTAGTGACTCAAGTAGTTAATTGCGTACGCCGATAATAATGTTATCAGTCGCAATGAGAGAGTGCGGCCCACCCACACGTAACGAGCACGCGTCCAAAACTAGATAAGCATCATCAAGTCTCGCGGTCGAAACTTTTAACTTTTCAGCCGTGGCTCGATTCGCCTCGGTCACGACTTTCCGACCGGTCCGACCGCAAACAGCAAACACACACCATATCGTGATTCTAGGACTCTGGCGGTTTCGTTTTCCTCCGCACGAGCGTTCATTTACAATCAGTGACGCCGAACAAGATCGAGAACGTCAAATTTACCAACTTACATTCAATGTAAGCAGAGGCATTCAGTTAGCGTTATTAGCTTGATCATGCGCACGGCGAAAAGTTACGAAAACAAGCACTGATCAAAACCGCAGCGAATCGTGTGCGGGGCAATGAAGTCATTCAACAAACACAAACACAAAGGACGTGAGAGATGCACCCAACTGAGAGCGTGTCAATGATGACCCAAACAAATAGAACTAGGTTTTTATTATTTTTGTTGAAAATTGTTTTAAACTAGGTTATAACTTACGATTTTTAAATCTATAATATAAAAATGAATCGCAAAATCAGTTGGTAAGCGCATAACTCAACAACGCCTAGACCAATTTGGCCAATTCTTTTTTCAAATGTTTGTTAAAGTCCAAGGATGGTTTTTACGGCGAGAAAAATTCGAATAATTGCCGGAAAAACCCTAAAGACAGCTCTTTTCTATAAGATAAAAGTTGGCATTGAGATTCAATCATAGTTATAGTTAAATAGTTGAATCCGAGATGGCGCGCTGAAGTGCATTATTAGCAATACTTTATATAATTAATTTCTTTAAAATAAAATTGCGAATCTTATTGATAGAATTAACACATACTATGTCTAGAACAAGAGAGTAAAAACAAATTACATTTCTATTAAACACTACCGGGACGAAGTCACGGGCAAAAGTTAGTTATAATATATAATATAATCTGTGAACAATTTACCTGTTTAAGTATGTTTACGTTTTACAACTTGGCAACACCGCAGGTAAAAACTAGGCAACCAAATGTACATGTGCGCGCGTTATCGGACGCGTCCTAGCGGACGTAACGACCCTACTATACCGAGGACTAGAAACAAAGCCGAGCGTCGAGCGCCAATAAAACGCAAACGTTGCGGAAATATTAAACGCGTATCCTCACCGAAAGGACAATCACATTCTCAAGCGAGCGACATCAGGACTAAAATAAGCACCACTACATGGCTTACCCATACAATCTTAGTGCAAAACTACTTAATTATTTTATGTTGTTATTTTGAAACTATTCGACATCAGACGGCGCTGTTTTATTTATTGTCACTATAAATGTTGTAACTTTTTAATTTTCGGTTCAGTTTACAATCAGGATTAAAAAAGATGAACTTGATTAGCTTTGTTTGTTCTTCTTCTAGGGGTAGTTATTACGTTTTATTTTGTTGAGCGCCGGCGAAAATTGCCTAATTAAACGGTAAGAATCGCGAGCGCGTGGAATTGTCCTATTGTCCCGGCGTCGATGGTCTTTTTTGGACCGGGATATAGCGCGCATAAAAGCGTTTATCTCTTTTGCGGGCCGCGCGACTAGCCGCCACGTTTTACACCATGCGGAATTTCATGCGTTATTGCGTCGCAAAAGTAGCGACATCTACAATAAAGTAGACTAAAACTTAAGCGAGCGGACGAAACTGTTACTAAAACTACATTAACCTAAAAACTTTTTTTCTAAATCTTATTAAACACTCTCTATGTAGATATTTAATTATACAGAGTGTTTTGTTGATTTTTTTATGTGTATGTTAAATATATTAAGACGTCATGCAAGGTTTCATGAATTTTCAGCAAATTTTATACCCAGAAAGATTTTTATCAACTTTCATAGTTAATAAACGCATTAATTAAGCAGGAATTAATGGCGGATAATTACAGGCAGTGCATGCTCGCACTTTGTACGCGATTACAATTAAAATTTCCGAGCGAATAAAAATATTTACCTATCGTGTGTAGAGTGTCGTATTGGACATTCGCGATGACGTGTTTAGTGGCAATTCATCATGGCCGCCGTGGGGTTCGTGCGTGTTCGTAGCAAGTCGTCGCCTTTCGCAGGAGACTCGTTAACTTAAATATCTTATTTTTCATCAAAGCAAATAATATAAGAAAATAAAAATGGCGGATAGTGTTTTATTGCATGGTTGGTTGCCTACACTCCACTTTTGATTTCGTATCTATTTTTATAATCTCCTAGAGAGTTTAACATCGTGAGCTGTTTCACTTTTATTGTTATTATTTTTATTATTTAACGTTTTTACTTGTATTACTTAA